AACTTGTGCACAGGCCACAATTTATATATATTTTTTTTTACAATATGCTAAATTCAGCATATAAACAGTAACTGTGCATTAAATGTGCAGAGGTGTGTTCTCTGTAGAGGATGTGTCAACATATTTTTGCTTAGAAAATCAACATGTCATTTGACTAGAAGTGCTCAAACTTTTGTGTACAACTGAACCCCGACCATGCTGAACAGCATTCATACTGAAGAACAGTCTTAATGTACATATTGCTATGTTTCAATATGTTTTACTTCATGTTTAAAACAAATTCACGACTTGCTTCCTGACATTGTTCTTGATCAGTAAGTCATGCTGATCTAACGAAGAATGTAAAATGTAAAACTCCTGCACATGGCTCTTTTATTGTAATGTTAAAGTGCTACAGTTGCGTTTGTTTACAGCCTGTTGTTTTGGCAGATGCCACTGTGAGTTTTCTCATTGCAGTGCTGACCTGAATCAACCTGCTGTTGCCATAAAGCTGCTCTTGAGTGTCCTGAACAGCCTGTGCAATGAATTCACCCAAAAAAACGCTCATGCTCTGGAACAATGCTCCTACTGTGTGCACCCATGCATGGGCTGGGGCCACTTACACCTCATTATCAGTCTCCAAATTAGTGGCCAGGTGGCCTGTCCCCAAACCCTTACCTCACACACTTCCCCAACTGCCCAACAAAATGGCCTCTGATTCTTAAAACTACACTGTTTCATGTGTTTTGGTTCAAAAGTATTGATAAAACCTAGTATCACAATAATTTCCATTTATATCACTGTGGAATGGTATTTTAAGAATGTTTCAAGCAGCAATATTTCAGGGTTTTTGTTTTTTTCTGTTAAAACTGAAAGAAGTAGCATAAAAAAGGGTTAAATATTTTGGCTTAAAGGCTCACAAAGTCTTGATGTTCAGATCTCATATGCAAACAACATTACACTGATGAAGATATACTGACAATAGTAGACAATTCACTTACATTCTCAGAAGATACGTCCTTCACCAAGTTTTGACCGAGTTCTCTTTGAGTACTCTCAACGCGCTCGCAATAATCAGATTCATCCACTCGGGAAAGGGGTCCAAAGCCCTTCTGAACGTTGTGTGCAATTACACATTTCCACCAAAAAGGTCTCCAAATCCCTACATCTTACATAGTGTAGCTTTAAGTTTGCATTAATAAAGTTAGTGAGTCCATACTTCCTGAGTACTGCTACTCTATGCTAAAAGAATGTCTTAAAAATCTAACATATTTTGATCGGACACTTTTGCTCTGATTTCCAAAAGAGAAACTTACTACATATATTTCAAACTGTTCTTTCAAAACAGCCTGAAGGACCCAGTTTTTGTTCTCTATCAATTTGCATTGGAAACTGTTGTAAACTAGTTTAGAAGATACACCATCCAGCACTACTTCTGAGGTGAGCTTGTGTCCCAGACCGGTTCTTTCTAACTAGCTTTGAACACTGGCAGTGGGAGTGGCCGAAAGCAGCACTAAACACCACCACAGCCATAAAGAGCAGTAAACCAATCCTGCTGCCTGACCCCTCTTCCCCCACTCTCCCTCAACCTGACACATCTGAGGGGGGAGGGAGAGGCCCAGAGACACAGGCAGGCCAGGATGGGGGAGGAGGAGGGGTCTGACTACTCATGCGAAAGCACAGAGGCACGACCGTCGCCCCCAGTGAGTGACACATTGATGAAACATGGCTCTATCATGAGCCGGTCGGGCATCTCCTCTTTTGCTGAATTTACTTTCCTAGGCTTATCGTTTTTGGCATTTACTTGAAAGGAAAGTACACTCGCATTTACAAAGTCACGTCAACCAGATGTGATGGCAATAGTAATGCGCAGATACTTCTGCTTGAAACAAAAAACAAAGAAGAAAGAATAAAAGGATTTGTCATTCGTCCCAGATTTGTCATCTGCCACTCCTTCCTTTGTGATGGTTCTCAATTACTATAATACCAAGGTGTTTTTGGGCTCTGGATTAGTTCTGTTCTCCTATAAGTGCTGAGCTGAAGCTCTCTAGCTCATTAAAATCGAATGTGATTTTATGAATAAGGGGGCCGCACACACACCTGCTCATGTGACATAATGAAGGCTTCATCACATGCCTGGAAATAGCTGCTTCCCAGCAGGACCGCCAGAGTGAAGTGTGAGTTCTTCTAAGGTTGCCGTGGATGAGTACAGTTTTAAATTGTGCTTATAAAACACTCGTGCTCTAAAAGACTGAAGACGACCCAGCTCCTAGTATTTCCGAAAAATCAATCGAAAGCCCGTCCAGCACTGCAAGTTCTTACAGTCCAGAGGTTGTCCTGTGGAAGTAAAAGCCAGCTCCACAATATAATCAATGGAGTTTTTGGTGTGGCAGTGGAGGTCAGACTGAATGGAAGCTTTAATGTCTAATGTCTCATTCAGATCATGCAGCGTTTTCTGTTAAAGATAACTGTCTTGCAGCACTTCATGTGTGCTACATACCAACACGTAGAGGCACTGTTAGAAAATATTTATCTCCAAAACAGCTCATATTTATTTGGAGATAGCAGAGAGAAACACTCACCACAAAAATTCTTTTAAACTTTAGAGGACATTGATTTTCGTTTGCTTGCTTGTGTTTAGAATGTGTCAGCTTTGTTGAATATAGAAATAAAAATAAAGAAATTGTGCTTTTCCTCTTTTCAGGTTAATGTAAATGTTAGTATAAACATCTATAAATCAATAAATGTCCACAGATATACTGTTTTTGGCACCATATCAAGCATATCATACTCAAATGACCTGGGGGCCACTAGCCAGGTTGTCTTCTCCAAGGGGGGCTGCTTGAAAAGTTGCAAGGAAAAAGTGTCCCATATTTTTCTTCTGAATTGATTGAATTTTGACTACATCACATATATCCTACAGTCATTTACGCACATCTTAGTCAATGTATATTAGCTACCTTTCTGTCACATAATAATAATAATAATAATAGTAGTAGTAGTAATAGTATACATACATAAAGTGCAAATATTCTGTACATTTGTAAACTTTTTAGTGTTCAGTTACATCACGTAATTAAAAATTAAAAACCTATAAGACTAAAAAATATAACAGAAGAAATCAAAACTATAAGAGACTTTTTGTGCTAGCACTGGTGTTCCTACTGAACAGGAGTGAAGTTACTGAGAGGGAAGTGTTCGTAACGCAGTTAGATGTATTAATTTCTTATTTCTAACACGCTGTATCTACTGCTGTGCTATGAATGAATCCACAAAGGCAGGTTTAACTAATTATCGTTCTAAATTACAATAATAGTTACGTCAATTCTAGCTAAATTACAGCCAAGCTTGCTCAGTGTGCAGCGTTTATATAGCAGTCTAGCAATCTAAATTACTTGCCATCCCGATATAGGAATAAATTGTAAATATGTGAAGCTGTCTTGGCCTGCGGGCTGTTTGTTTGAGATGCATTTGTATATACTTATACTGTACATGACTGTAAATTGAACGTTGGTAGGTTTTCCTTCTTCCAGGAAAGCTTTTTACACACATTTAAGACAAGATGAGGTCATCTTGTGACAAGCTCAGCAGTGTCACTGTTAAAATACAACTGTTGCTCACTCAACATTATGACTGTACTCCAAATGCAGCTGTGATGTTAGCTGTTGTTAGAGGTTGCACTTTCCTCATCAGAGATACAGAGCTCTGATGCGGTTATACAGTACCAGTCAAAAGTTTGGACTTTTTTTTTTTTTCATATTTATTAAGATACTTCAATCAAATGCTTACCCTTAGATGCTAGAATTTTGTTTCTAAGACACATAGAAATAGCAAAGTTCAAAAAAATTAAATATATTATTTTTAACATCATCATTTAGAACTAAAATTTGGAGCAGAGTCATTCTCATTACCATGTTTGAGATATCTGTTGCAACAAGGCAGACTAGGTCTAAGGGTGAGTTTACATTTGTAGTTCAGTTCTCCAAAGCAGAAAGTGATACATTTGCATTTTAGTATTCTACATCAAACAAAAAGTCATACGGACAAAGTCACACCTGATTGGGCAGAGTTTGTGGTACATTTGGCTACAATAAGTAACATCCCAACCTTCTGATTCATACTGTACTCTGGATGAACTGAGCTTGTATGTATGTTTATGCCTTGTTTTATCTATGCCCCGTGATGTTCAAGCAGAAAAAGTCATCCATGTATTACTATGGTCTTCCCAAAACACGAGGTGAGGCAAAATCACTGTGAAACCACTGTGACAACTCACAGCCTCAAGTGTCTTGCTGCTTTTATAAAACACTGAAAACTTGCTGCATTAATACATAATATAATTGATGTGTGTGATGATTTGAGTATATTTTTATTACTACAATTTTTATGACGGCTTCAAACATGCCTCAACACATCTGAAAACAGAAACTATCAGTTTTTTTAATTCTCGCATGTGTCAAAATAGCATCAGAAATTCCTGTGTTGCAAGAACCAAAGAAAGTCTGCAGAGAAGATACAGCTGTGTTTGGTCCGTTTACGTCTTTGATTAATTTTGCATTCATACTTCAAATGAACCTCTCCATTTGGAGTTCGGCCTTCTTCCTCAGGGCATCACGGTACACTTATTTGGTGTCCATCAGGTTAGAATGGTAGCATTCTTCACTCTAACGAACCAAACTACCAGAGCAACGAGAGTTTGTTATAGGTGTGTACACAGCCTACATCTTTCTATAATTGTTAGAAAGCCAATATTTCTGTCTGTAGTAATTCCTTATGGTTTCCCAGACAGAGACTACATTTAGGCCTAGACTAAACAATAACTCCCCTTTCAGTGGAGAATCCTCATTTAGAATGCTGCCTTGTCCAGGACCAAGCAACCTTTTAGGTTACTTCATAGTTTTGATGTCTTCACTTGTCCACAGTCAACTTGTCCAAACTTTTGTCTGGTACTGTACATTCAGTTGTACCATTTCTTTTCAATGGACTTGCGTATGTTGTTTGTGTATATGCGTATTTGGTACCTGTGAGTGGCACAGCTCCCCCGTTCTCCGGCTCAGGGGCTGCGTGCTGGCGGCTGCCGCTCGGTTAGCCGTTTGGAGGTTGATGGGGGACGTCTGCAGCGCCTCAGAGCTCGCCGCCTTTTGTCCGTTAATGTGTGCGGTCACCATGGAAACGGGAGCCTTGGCCGGCACCACGGAGATGGCTATGCTCTGGCTGGGCGGCTTGATGAGGGAGAGGGGCTTGGCTGGTGTCCCCACAGGACAACTTCTTACCGCCAGCTTCTGTCACAGAGAGGGGGGTGGTAGAAAAGAAGGAATGCAAAGGTTAGTAAAGAAGGAAAAAATAAAAAAAGGCAAACCCCAATGTCCGCCTATCTGCAGAGAACTTGAAGGGCACTAAAGCCGAGGGCAATGTTTGGAGTTAATCTACTGTTTTGATTCTTAGTATTTTAGCTTTGCGCCTGAGAGAGCTTATATCCTCTGCAGGCTTTTGCAGACCGCTTTTGGGAGAGCTTTGCTTTAATAAGAGCTTTGCTTGTACAACTTTTTTTGTTATGTGTGCACAAACATGCTCATTACTGCCACTGACAGTATCACGCTCTATTCCCTGTTTGTCAGTTTTAACATATGAGTGGGTGATATGGTAAAACATATAATATGCCAACACATTTTCTTGACACACAACAAATATCATGGTTTTTCAGAGGTTTCATAAGTTGGAACAGAAAAAAAGAACTGCACTGCACTAAATCCAATTAAATAAGACTAATGTTGCTCTCTTTGTAATGAAACATGTAGTTTGTGTACTTTACGTACTGACAATATTCACGATATGTCCAGAAAATCATATTTCAGGGTTCGTACACTTAAATGTCTTTTCAATTAATCAATTCCAGAACACGACTATCCCAAACCAAAAAACCAAAAAAAAACTACAAAAAAAATCCATGAAAAAAGGTTAAGGGTTAATTATTCTCGTATGGAATATCCATCCGCAAAATGATGTGAACCTGAACAGTGATTTTAAATTGCAGCCTGCAAAAACTGAGAAGTATGTGCTACCAGCATAAGGCTACATAAGGTTGTAAGAAGATGGTAACGGCTAAACATTTAATGTCATGTATTAACGTTTATTTACAACCTGTATGAAGTCACTGATGACAGTGTTGAAACACTTACAGTACTTCTTGCTGCCCATGGCGCTACTACTCTTTAGTGACTGTGGCTAATATTTAGTCTACAAAGGTAAAAGACTGTCCGGGCTAAAGGTAGCGACGCAACGCACATCCTCATTGATCCAACGAATAAGAGAATATGTGTTCATTGGTATGGTGAAAAATTTAACTAGGCTACTATCAAAGTTTTGGTTTTTTTATGACCTGTGAACAAACCACTGCATCTTTTCAAACAGCTGCTAATGCAACATCATTGGACAGCTGAACGCTTTCGGCGGAAAGCACTGACCACCACTTCTGTTAAGTCAGATAACAGACACCTGCACAGGCTAGTATCACAGGTGATGGAGGGGGGTTATCCTTCCCACCAAGAGAGTAAGGCCAACTGTGCTCTCTTGGACTCCCGGCCACGGATGGCTGTAGCATTGCCAGGGACTGAACTTGCAATCTTCTGATGACAGAGCCAATGCTTAGACGGTTGCGTCATTCAACAGCCCCAGTTTTTCATGACTTTCGAAAGCGTTTTTCATAACTGGATTTTGGCGCATTTATTTTCAGGTTTTCCAGGATCCACGTGAGCCTCGATAAGTAATGTGACATCACTTATCATGATAATGATAAACATCATCATGTCACCCACACCTGCATATGAGCCACTGCTCATATATTTCACAAAGGCATTGCACAAAACATGAGTGCTTTTACAAAGCCTGGGTAAAACTAGCAAGCAGCTCATAAATCCAGTTCAAGTGCATCAACTGAAGTTATTAAGACAACTCTGGGAATTTAAAAATTAGAAATTTAAATGATTCTCTGTTTAGCTTTCGCTTGTTTTCATTTGTTGATTAATTTACTTAGCCTCTTTTCGGGAACCTGATGTGAAAAACAAAAAACAAAACAGAACATTCTGCCCTTTGCTTTTGTCCTTGAAAACAAACCGATCCGTACTCCGTTGCTTTTCTGAAAGCCTGCATGTCTCACAAGCTAAAGATATGTCCTTATCACGTCTCTCTACATCTCTCCCTCTCTCCTTCCTGTTTCTCTCTCTCCATCTTTTACTCCACCCACTTCTCTGAAGGAAAAAAAAAACCACACAATCCAAAGCAGAGATAAGTACAGTTCACACTCCCACCACTGAAAGAGGAGGCACTCTAAATATTTTATATTCCATTCCACTGCCCCTTTCTTATTTCTCCCTTTGCCTTTTATCGTTTTCTATGGACTGTGGGGACTGGGGGGGAGGGGGAAAAGAGAGGGCTTTCATATTCAGTCCATTCCAATATGAGAGACCATTTCACTCGCTCACTCTTCTGCTCCCTCTTTTAGCACCGCCAGCCTTGGAAAAAGAGGCTTAAAGTAAAGGAACATTTTCAGCGTGTCCTTCAAGCACCGCTTTCGCCTTCTGTTCGGCGCTAATATGGAGCGGCTGAGTTACAAACACAACGAGAGCCTGGTAATGATGAGGAAGTCATGTTAGGCGTAATGATATTCCATGCTACGTAAACAATCCAATACCCAGTTCGTGTTGTTTTAAATGCATCGCCCGTTTAAAGATAAATCACTCTTTGCAATGCGCCGCTCTGCACCATGATATTACATCTAGCTCTGCTAGGGGCTGTGCTGGGAAAATAGCGAGTTTGCATTGCAGCGGAGCAGAAATAAATAAACAAATAGGCCAAATTGATTAGATTCAGCTTGCATTTTCTACTTTTTTCCCCGCAGAGTGTCTCCGTGCAGCAGGGAGGTTTGAGGAAGAGTCGGCTACGCTTGATGCCTTCGCAGCTTGGTGAACTCACAATTTCCTAGGCTGGAGTACGGAGGGCCTTACACACACGCAGACACCCACACACAGCAGAAAAGTACACACCCTGACAAGCCCCATTCAGTGAAAGAAAATAGCAGAATGCTTGAGATTCATTTAGAAGCCTCTGCCTTGCACTCTGCATGCCTAATCAGGAAAGCAGCCCTTGCTTCTGTTTTGTCTTTTGGAGGGGGCAATCGGGGCTGCTAGTGTACTCTGAATTCATGGGATCAAGAGGACTTGGGATTGAGGGGGGAGGCTGAACTGTTGAGGGGGTGGTGGTGGGGGGGGCAAGTGATGGTGGTAGTGATGGTGGTGGGGGCATTAGAAGAGGTCAGAGAGAAAGAGAGCTAGAAATCTCCGTGGAAACTAAATTTTCTCTTTGTCACAATCCAGTCTAATCAGCATGTCGAACAAGAAGGAAAATGTAGAAGCAGCACACCAGGGCGCTCTCCTCCCCTCTCCCTCTTTCTTGCCTCGTTCTCTCCCTCTCTCGTTCGCGCGTTCCTTTCTCTTGTGCGAGTTGCGTGGGAAAAGATGATAAAAGTAATGAAAATAGCAACCGCAACAATAAAACTCAGCAGAACTGGAAGAAGCAGCAGCGGCAGCGAGCGGTGGGATCCGCAGGCGCCGCCAACCTTTCGGTCGCAGTCATCAGCCAAAAAAAAAAAAAAAGCCTTGCTAGAAAAAGAATTTTAATTATGCTTTTTTTGTTCCAACTTGCTGGTACAGATCCCAGCAAAAAGGCATGATTCAGTCTCTGGCTGCCGCTCCTTCCTCGTACGGCAAGAGTATCTGCTCCATCGAAACCCGTCTCTGCTCTTGAAGAGTCTTCATACGGAGAGGTCGATGTTCTTGACAGGCATCAGCAGTCATTTTCATGCTCTTCTGTAATACAGTATCCAGCTGTGTGCTTGATTTACTCGCACTCTCTGCCACTGAGTTTGCGAGCCTTCTATAAGCCTGCGCACCGAAGTAGGTCTTGCCCTATAATCCCATCACTTTCAATAAAAGAATCGACTCTTCTCATCCTCCTGCTCCACTTCAGGATTATTATTTTTTTGCTTCCCTTTCTCCTTCTTTGCTTCTCTCTCAACCTTAATGGGCACCGACGCATTAGTATCTATGGTTGCCAAGAAGACCAGCTCAAAGAGAATTCTCCAACAAGGGCCTTGCTTTACTGCCCTACAAACCCTCTCGCTTGTTTACTGAGGGATGGAAGAGCTGCTAACCACTACAGTGGCAAATTAACCTGGATCCAGCACATAGAGGGAAAAGAGGCAGAAGAAAGAAAGCTCCTATTAAAAATACTATGAAAGAGTCCCAGTATGGATGCTTAAAGAGCCCTAAAAGCATATGAAGTCCTGCCGTTTGTCTCCCCATCGCATTATGGTGTGAATGGGGAGTTCATTTGCTTGGCGTTATTTATTAATGCCCTCACAATGTGTGCGGTGGACCCCATTGTTTCAGGGGATCAATGTAATCCACAGGCAACCTCAGCACCAGCCTGGATGTGGGCCCGACGTGCAGCCATTTGATCATCCCAGGGCACCTCTGATTGTCTCAAAGGTCACCCATTTCAGCTCCCCCTCCTTAACACACACTGTCTCTCTCTCTTACACACACTCGTGCACACACCCTCACTCAAAAACAAAGTGGTTAAAAGACCGGCACCCCGGAGGAGAGACAAAATAACTCAAATGAGGGAAAAAGGATGTTCGTAAGGGTGAAATAGGGCCAGGAAGACCCTGAATGCAGTTCATGCAACAACTTACCACAGAAAGCATTCTTACTACTCTAACATGTCTGCCACATAGCACTAACAGTACTATAGTACCAGTATTGCATTGCCGAACCTTATAAAAGGTGACAATAAGGATGCATCTCCTGCATTGACATGCACAGAGCTGCTTGCACCTGGCTTCATTATCTTGTTGTGAGGTTAGCTGCAGTGCTGGAGAGGTCAAATGAGGGTTTTACGAGGGAGGCCGTGTTTGAATGTTTACCTTTCACACTCCACTGTCCTGTCGCACTACGGTTGTAGGCAGGCTGCCAAGCAGCACTGCTCCTCCCCCGTCCAGGATCAGAGGTGTGCCTCCGAAGGGAAGACTTAATTGTGCATGTTATGCCATTAGCACTTCAGTATGGATTTTGAGGCAAAGAGGCCTCTACTAATGTACACAAAGTGTGAAATGCAACACCAGGAGATGACAACAGTGTCACACAGCTATAATTGCACCACAGAGCTGTTGTCTTTAAAACCGACACAAAATTAGCAAACTGGTGTCCTTTGGACAAATAAATGG